GCATGTGCCCTTGGCCGGAATCGAACCTGGGACCCTTTAGTCTGAAGGCTGACGCTTCTCTATCCAAGCCAAACCGGCCAGGGCCCTCCTTTTCTTGAAAGTTCCCCCCTTTTCATATGTTGTGAATGCCTCCCAAGGTAGTTCATTTCTAGATTGAAGGCACCCTGTCTAATGCTGTGTGGTATTTCATAAAGAATATTTTATTCAACAATCCCCTATTGTTGGGCATATGGGTTTTCTCCAACCAGAGCAAAAAGCCCTGAGCAGTGACCCCTTCCAGCACCCACTTGTGGACCCAGCACCCATGTCAGTTTTGTTACTTACAGCAAACTCCTCGGGAGTCACTTTCAAGACATCGAAGACAACGGCATCGTAGCTCTTGCTGGCATAGTCGCAGCTCTGGCCCTCCAGAGAGTCTGAGCTGCTGCTGCCCTGTGGGGACCGGGAGAGACATGCCACCTGAGCAGTCTGGCTGACTTGAGTCACTGCCTCCCACACCTCAGAACTGAGGAGGCAAAGAGTGACAGACTGCATTATGATAAAAGCTTGTAGTGTTTAGTGCTTCACTCTGTTGCAGGCACGGTGCTAAGCACTTTATATGCATCATGTTAACATCTCTGAATACACACTATTACTATTCCCATTTTACAGCTAAGGAAGTAGAGGCAATGTTACTTCCCCAAGGTAGCTCAGCTAGGAAAGTGAAGAGCCAGAAAGAGAACCTGGTTTTGTATCTACCTGATCCCAGATCACTGCACCCCACCTGTTTCCAGCTGGCTGTGTGGCAGTGGGGTCAAAAATACAGCCCACTCTTCCTTCAGAGGGAACCAGCCTTCCCATCTTAGGAGGCCTGAGGAGATCACCTGTTTCGTTACATCTTTCAGACATTACCTGGTTTTACCTTTTTATTTTTTTTCTACTTGAGTTCATTGCAGGAAATTGTTACACAAAATGCTAACCGAGCTCTTAAGGCTTATTTCATGCATTGGCCACTTGGAATTCAAGCCTGTGAGCTGATGAGGTGAGAGGTAACCGACTGGCATTGGAGACAGGCGTGAAAGTTATATTTAGTAGCGTCCCTTGTGGGGAAGAACACTGTGAGTCCTGCAAGTAAAGTGTCTCCCATAAAAAAGCAAGTTAAAACTCCCCAATTGTGGCTGGTTGCATGAAAAACCCAACACTACAGGATCCCAGAATGCTGACCATACCTTCTCTCAATTTTATTTCATTTCATCAAATCCTATTTTGGGGAACCAATCACACTTACCACCCCAAAATTGTGCCCTGTTCATAAATGGTTCTATTCGTCTCAATCCACGAAGAGGGATTTTGTGGTTTCCATTAACCTCAACATCTTGGACTGGGATTTAGAGAATATGCTTTTATTAATTCCTCTTTATTTCACTCTTTCCAAAATGGCTATATCTGGAAAAACTTTGCAATCTTACTGGAAACTAGATTGTTTTTAGGCCAGTGAGGGAAACCAATAGTCAATATCTGAAAATGTGAGGTTGAAAGGAGGAGCAGAAACTAAACCTGTAGATTTCAGTAGGAAATCTATTGAATCTGTGTCATTTAAAGGCTTCACAAATGGGTCTACTATACCCAAAACCCTAAGATGATCTTAAGAAGCAGGGTCCCGTGGTAGTTAAGGCCAGCTCCACACCAGCTGCTGCCCAACCTCAGGTGAGTGCCTTCATCTTACTGAGTCCCAGGCATCTGTAAATGGCACTGTTGGAACCTACTGCCCAGGGCTGCAGTGGATTATAGAAAATGAAGCTCACAGAGCAACTGGCAGAATCCTCACCCCTCCTCTCCCCCTGCCCGCTCCCTGCCCCCCTCCCCCTCCCCGGAGATGCTGGTTCTAGGGCTCTAAGGGTCTGGGTGGGCTCGGGGGTAGCTAATTTAAAAGTTGTATGGGTAATGGGACAGTCTCCCCTGAGGAAAACCTGTGTTACACTTTTGAAAAATAATGAAGACGAACCGTCAATGCCCCTGGACCTGGCCGTCTATTCTCCTCAGCCCTGTACATTCCCTGAGCAGAGGAGGACCGTGCATCACGCATGCCCACACCCACCTTCCAGGAAGTGGCGCAGCAGGTGACAGGGCAGGTTTTCTTCAGGACGGTAGTGTCATCACCGTCAGAAGCACACCGGGTTGGGTCCCACAGGCCTGGCTCTGAATCCCACCCACCGCTGACCAGCTATGTGAATCAAAGCCAGTTTATCCACCTCTCCCTGCCTTAGTCTCCTCATCTATAAACTAAGGGGTAAAACAACAGTCCACACCTCATGGGGCTTTGTGAGGACTAAGTCAGATAATGTCTGTGAAGATGCAAAAAATGAGCCTGGTATATAGTAAGCACTAATCATGGGTGTGGATATGTGTAAACGTGTCATTCAGTCACCAAAATTTATTGAGCACTTCAATTATACATGTATTCATTCATTCACTCAGCAAATGTTTATCGAGTACTCACCATGTATCTGTATACACACATATGTGTGCATATACACAGTATACATGTATGCGTGTGTGTGCACGAATGTGTATATACAGGGAGAGTAGAGAAGAAAGAAGTTTTACTGTAGGTGGAGTGTAAATTGTAAATAGAAACAGAATTCTGATTCCTCTAGTTGACAAACGGCCCATTCCTGGGCTTCAGGTTTTATAACTTTCCTGTAATGCCCACTGCATCGGCCCCTAACACGTGCTCAAACAAGGGTCCTTGTTTAATCAAAAACTGCCCCAAATACATTCATTGGTGGTGCTGGCAGTGATGATGCAGTAACTTTATTTAAACCTATATTGGCACCATCAGAAAAATTTAAAAGGCACCCACAAGTCTGCTTTTCAGATCCAGAGATCAAAAAAGGAAAACTTTCTAAAGGTTTATAAGAAATGAGCTAGTTCCTGTGAATTTCTAGCTGATTACATAGGATCGTTTCAAAAGCCCAGCTCCACTCTAAGGGCCCTGTGAGCTCAGGACACTAAGCATGGCCAGTTAGTCACAGGACCAGGCGTTACACACTGGATGTGGTGGCATCCCCAGGCCGCAGATGACACCCACTCCCCTGCGTGCCTCTGTTACGTTACTGAACTTGGAAAGAAAACTCCCAAACCCCCGGGGAAAGGCCCAGCCCAGGACACTCTCAGACCACCAGTCCTCACAGCCATTTCCTCCTGAGGAAGGTAAATAATAGCACAGGCCAGTTGGAATCAGTTCTGTCTGACTTCATTCCGGAATGTGTGACTTATTTATAATCAGCGGCGGCTTTTCTGGGGAAAGGTCTGATCTCTTCGTGCACCAACATGGAATGTGGCACTTGCTAACACTGGACCGAGCAGCTATTTGTTTTTCTTTGAAGAGAAAGACTTCAGAAAACATATTGGTCCTCAGGACTGACTGCCTCCCAAATCTCACGCCCGGCGTGGCCAGGGCCTTGGGAGTGCTAAGAATGGTGGTATTCATGGAGCCCTACAGCTTTGCTGCTCATGACTCAGCTGGAGCCTGGCAGCTTTGCTGCCCCCACTGTCAGATTCGTGCAGTCTCCGTACCTGTGGAGTGGCGGAGGTGACCAACACACTAGCCATCAGACCATTCCTCTTGTACATAGTCTCCAGGCCACAGGGAGCTTCAGGGCAGCCTCTGTCGGTGACATAACCCGTCAGGAGAAGTCCTGCAAGGCAAAGGAGTTCATAAAAACCAGCCCTCAAAGACAACTAGACCCCACCCCTGGGGAAAGGTGTGACAGATTTGAGTAGATGACCCCAGAGACCTTTAAAGAAAGATTATAAGCTGGTGGCCTTTGGGCTAAATGTAGCCCACAGATGTACTCTGTTGGGCTTGCACAGGTTTTAATATTTTTTAAATTAACCACCAATGTTTAAAACTTGAACAGTTTCATGCAGAATCCTGGATTTCTGACATTTCTTGAAACTAGGAATACCTGGCAGTACCGGGCCCACATCCCTGCCTGACAACCATCAGCTGCGCTGAGCAGTGGTGGCCCACCTGGCCCTTGCAGGCACTAGAGTTTGTGATCTTTGTTTTAAAGTGGAGACAGGTGAAGAAGACAAACGGATTCTGCTGTGTCTGCCTGTGCACCAGATCATGTCAGCAGCAATAATGTGGAGAGCAGCTAATATTGCACAGCACTTGCCTGGTGCCATGCGTTTTACACACCTCAGCTCATCTAGCCCTCACTGCAGTCCTCGGGCAGGCCCTACGATTACACCCACAGTGCACAGAGGAATCGGAAGCACGGGGAGCTAACGTGACTCACACTTTGGTGCCTCAGCTCATGCTGTCCCCCATCCCGTCAGCATTCAAGATCCTACTCAGCTGTCATTTCGTCTGGTTATCATGCCTGGCCACCCAAAGCAACATCAGTTGCTTTATACCAATGTGTGTGTACACAATTCTAGCACAGCATTTATCACATCACCAAACATCACAGAACTGTAGCCACACCAGCTTTTTTGCAGGAAATTGGCGAGGAGAGGGAGATGTAATGGGGGGGGAGGGGGCCGGGAGGCAAAGGTTCCAGCTGGAAGCCAACTGCAATTTCCCAGGCAACAGATGAGGAGGGTCCTCTGAGCTAAGTTTGTAGCAGTGAAGTCAGAGGGAAGGAGACAGACGGAAAGGCAGTAAGGGCAGAAATTCAATAGAAATTGATGAGAGCAGGAGGGAGCACAAGCCGAGGATGAATGGTTTCTGGCTGGAGGTACCAGAAGGATGATGGGGAAGGGAGAGGTGCGGGAAAAGATGATGGGTCTGTGGTGCCAAGGACATAATCAGTCCTGGTAAGCAAGGTCAAGCCCAAAAGTCACTGGGAAAGATGGAAAACAAGGAGGTACAAGTCTGATCTTGACTGTCTGTGTACCCACTATGCTTCCGGCAGCCTGAGCTAGAAAGACAGACAAAGCTTGTTTCCGATCTCACTCCTGTATGTCTCGCCACTGACGAAAACAGACTAATTTATGGGCAACAATTCTCAGACAAGTGATATTTCACATGCTAAGAAAAAAACAGAACCAAACAGAATGGAAGATCCTTTCCAGGGCCCAGAGAAACCTCTACCCATCCACCTTCAGTCCCTGAGGCCTGGCCAAGCCCCAACTCCTGGCCAAGAACCAGACTCCCAACAAGGAGGTCAGCCCAGCTCAGCCCCTCCCTAAGAACCCCTTCCCAACCCCACGGGTGGGCCCCTGACAATGGGAGCCAAGCCTCCCAGGTAGGACTGACTGAACCACAGTGGCCATCTCATTCTCCTGGGAACTCGGAACCCGGAGATGCCAATCTGGTTAACCAAACAGAGGTGCTGTACCCTCGGGAGGAGATGATGGCCAAATCCTGCTGGGTGCAGGGACAGTCGGTCAGAAGGAGATGCACAGAGAGAAGCTCAAGAGACAGCCGTGTCTGAAAGGGGAGGAGAGCACGGGGCCTGGTTCCCACTGCTTTGTAACAAATGCCTCTTTTTCAGTGTCAGACAGATTTCCAAAGACCTTGACCAAGGCTATTTCCTAAACCCCAAGCTCACACAGGGGCCCATGTCAGTGGGGGAAGATACATGCCACCATCCATCCATCCACTCACTGAGCTCAGGCGTCAGGCAGGCACCCTCGCTCTAGGAGTTCCTAACCGTTGTGTGCCTTGGACCCTTTTGACTGGTGAAGCCTCGAGGCCCTTTCTCACAGAAATGTTTTTAAATGCGTAAAATTATACAGGAAACCAATTATATAAAAGTACAGTCATTAAATTATTTTTAAAACAATTGCGATGTAGTAAGAAAATAAATTTTATTTATTTATTTATTATTGCATTAAAGAACAAGATCTATTGGTGGATCTGGAAACTACCATAATTTCAAAGCAGTATGAGCACAGGCATTCTAAGATACCCACAGCTAACATATGATAGGAAAATATCTGTGATTTTTATTGGTGACAAAGTCCCAGATACTGTCAATATTACTGTGATTCACTGTCTGTTAGTAACTGAGAGAAATGTTATACCTCAGTTAGAAGTTTGTGAAAATAAAGATGCCATTTTCCCCCATTCAAATTCAGAGATGCCTGGTCGAGAAACCCTGTTCTAGGCAGTGAGACCATGAAGTGAGCAAACCCTGCTCCCATAGACTTCACATTCCAGGATGGGAGTGAGAAAATACCGTGAACAAGAAGATAATTTCTGATCATGAGAAATGTCTTGAAGAAACACAATGGAGGGAATACAGTATTGCCAGGGTGGTCCAGGAAGGACTCTCTGCAGATGTGATCTTTGAACTGAAACTTAGGAAGGAGTCAGCCACAGGAAAAGGACTGTTCTTCGCAGAGGGCACAGCAAATGCAAAGGCCCTGGGATGCACATGAGTGTAGAAGCTTTGTGATGGAGGCAGATGGCCATGGCTGGAGCTTTGAGAGTGGGAGGCGGTGGACAGGCAGGCCGGGGCCAGGGTCTGGAGGGTCTTGCAGGCCACGGTGGGGAGTTGGGATTTATTTGGAGTACACTAGAGGGTTCTGAGCAGGGGAATGACATGACCTGATCTGTTTTGAAGGTCACTGTAGCTACTGTGTGGAGAACTGGGTTAGAGAGCCAAAAAAAAAAACAAACAGGAGCAGTGAAGCCAGTGGTGGGTAAGGGACGGGGATGACAAGACTGCTGGCCACAGGGACCAGGGATGGATCTGAGAGGAGGTCTGGAGGTGAAACAGACAAGACTTGTTAATGGACTGCATGTGAGGGAAAAGGAAGAGAGGATGACTTGGGGCCGTTATGACTGGGTAGATGTTGACCTAAAAGCCTCATCAGCAGTGTGCTCATCGTTCACTGAACAGCCCCAAGTCATCCTCTACTGAGACAGCTGGTGGACCAGTTCTGAGGGCCTGGAGTCGAAGATGACACAGCCCTGTGCTCCAGGGTCCTGTGGCGCAGGTTGGGGAGAAAGTCCAGCAAGGTCACATTACAGGTTCACCTTGGAGGGGGGAGGTGTCAAGGAAGACATCACTCTGAGAAGAGCCATTGAGTTGGGTCTTAAAGGACCAGTGGGAGTGTTTCAAGGAAAGAGCGGAGAACAGGAGGGCAGTGTGAGCAGGTGTGGAAGCGCGCAGGTGTGTGATGCCAGTGTGCCAGGAGCACCGGGAATCCTCCCCCTTCTCCCTTTATCTCAGCCCCGTGCCCACCCTAGACTAACACGGGCACTGGGGGCACAGCGGCAAACAAGCCAGGCACAGAGTCTGTTTGACAGGCAGCCCCGACACATCTGTGCAGCAAACATGGCAAAGTTTTTCCTAAGCCCTGAGCTGTGCAGTCTGATCATTGCTGTCATCCTTCTGGCTGAGGATATATATGCATTTAAAAAAATTTATTTTTTTTTACAGATGAGGAAACTGGCACTCAGAGAGAAATTACACTGTCACTTAGGGTTACGGTTTGACATGCCCACACTGACTGTGTTCCATGCCACACTGGAGGCAGTCTGGCCTAAAAGTAAGAGCACCAGCTTTTTTAGTTGGGCCATTTTAATCTGTACACACCGAAATCCTATTTTCCACTCTCCCTCTGCCTCTCTCTCCTCTCTCTCTCTCTCTCTCTCTCTCTCTCACACACACACACACACACACACACACACACACACACACTCCAGCTGCTAATGCCTCCTTGGAAACCAAAACACAGCAGGAGAAAAAGCGTTTCTCATGATGTAACTCCGCAAGCACGTGGCAGTTGTAGCAGAACCACAGAACAATCCCACGTCTCTTGTTTCCCTATGACAGCGTCTGGTCTGGTGTGTGTGGGCTCCTGAGGAGGGGAAGGAAAATCCCATATGCAACGTTGGTTTCCTTCCAAACTCAGAATTCTGCTTCAGCGTTTCAGGCTCAGGAAACCAAGAAAATAACATGAGACAGTCTGGTGCAGACCACTGTTGAGAAGGCAGAATAACCACTTTTTTCTAAGCTTATGGAGGCTGTTTCAAAGAAAATACACACATCCAGGAATGTTCAATTACAGGAGAGTGATCTCTTCCAAATGTTCGGACAAGTATGAAAATGGACGCCAGGCCCAGTTCCTCGGCGTGGGGCTGCTCTCCGCCGACGTGGTCAAAGCTTGCTCCACCTTCCTGCATCTTGAACAGAGGCTGCAACAAAGACGAATAGGAAGGAAACAAAGCAGGATTCTGCCCACAACCCCTCCACCAATATTTGGCCCACTGCAGGAGCAATAAGTGTACATACGTGTACATACACACACACACACACACACACACACACACACACTCTGAACCACAGACACAGGACCAGATTTTGTGTTGCCAAAAGGTTTCCCTTGGGGCCCATCCCTCTGGGGCTGGACCACCTGCCAGCACTCAGGAAGGCTGGCCTTGTGTGGCTGGCACTGCTGTTATCTCTACCTCCTCCTGACCCTCTCTACGCTGGCCAAGCCTCTTTTCCTGGCAAGCAGCAGTGTCTGGTGGCTTTCACAGAGCGGCCTAGCCACGTAAGCAGTCAGACCTGCCATGCCATCACTCACTGCAGTGTCCGCCCACGCCCTCCCCTGCTCCTTTCATACCATCCCACCAGATGTTCAACATCCCACCTCTCACCTCCTCACTGAGGGGCAGGGAATGGGCTGGGAGGCACCACTGTGTCCAAAGGCCACTGCACCTCCGTGGAGAGAA